CTCTCACTTCTATTTTTAGTTTATGAATGTGATAATTTTCTTTAATTTCTTCGGCTTGAGTTCCGTAGTTCCACTTTCCGACTTCTTTGTCGGCTTCAACCGGGTAATTGGCTTTAATTAAATGCACGTCGTAAAGTCAACTGTGTGTGTGTGGCTCCACTCCCTCAGTCACCGCCGACCTCTGTGCCCCGTTCAAACCTTGCAAATTTAATTAAAGCGAATGCGAATCATAAATATTGTAATGCCCCCACCTACACACACACTCGCACAGTGCGAGCCAATTGTCAAGCCCTCGCAAAAGTTTGCGAAACTCAGGCCACCGAAAAGCCCCAGAAAACTCAAGCCAAACTCAAGCGAACTCAGGTGAATGTAGGTCAGTGTGGTGTGAGTGGTCTTTGGAGGAGATGGGGAAGGAGGTGGGAGGGCGGTGGTTTTTTGGGAGGTATTTTACCAAGCACCTGAGATTCCAACTTGTATCTTAATCTTGGTTGCAATACCAAGAAGGTTTTTAAATACTCTAATGTGAGGTTTATTGATTTGTATAGTATATAGATTTTTATAGAAAATAATCGATAAAAATCGATGTTTTAGGAAATATTTCTTAATATTATGCCATTTTTTTTTGCTTTCCAAATGCTTTCCTTATTATTGTAATTATTGTAAATATCAATACAATAAGTAGTATTTTGTATACTATGACATCTCTTTTTGTCAAATTATTGCCATTTTCTATAAAAATAGTTAGTTCTCGTGTAAAATATATATTTTATTTCCTTTCTCTTAGCTTTAAGGGGGGACATCTGAGTAGAATTTTGAAAAAATCGAAATTTTTTTTTTTCGCTTAAAAAATTCTTTAGGGTCTTAAAAATGACATATCAAAAGATAGAGTCCGGCAAAAGTGTCTAAGTGTCGAAATTTTTCATTCTGCGCCGATGCCTCACAGGTATATCCCACAGTACTTAAAACTTTAAACGCGTTTTTCTCGAAACCACTTTTTTTGAGTTGGCCGAACACCTAACTCGAACAACTCTTAACCTATCGATCTAAAATTTTGACAGTATACTCAGAATACCTATGTCTATCGACACACGTAGGATTTTTTTTTATTTTGCTTACTTTTTTTTTATTAACAATTTTGTGACGTTTTTTATTAGTGAAAATTGAAAATTTTGTTCAATCACTTGCCATTTTGGAAAAAATCAATATATCGAAAAAATCCTACGTGTGTCGATAGCCGTTGAGATAAAGAAACTAACCAAACTTGATTTTTGTTCTAGATCAAAAATTAAGGACGTTAGGTGTTCGGCCATGGACCCCTTTAAAAAAATAGGGCCTACCAATAAGGGCTGCAGGGCCGCCATTTTGTTTTCGATTTATTAAAAAAAAATTTTATTGTGTAGTTTAAATATAATATAATAAAACCCCATTTACAAATTTTCGATTAGCTGTTTTGATTTGGCCAAAAAAAATTCGAGAAAAACCGCTTTTTTTTGGCCTGTTACTCAGATGTCCCCCCTTAAATATAAAATCGATAAATATCGATATGCTAAGCTAATATTTATCAGTTTTATGGTCTATTTTTTATTAACGTTTTGCCATTTTTTAACTTTTATTTGAAAAATCGATAAATATCGATATTTTGAAAATATTCATTAAAATATAAATTCCATAAGTGTCAGAGTACTTTTCTAGTCGCCTTTAAAACTATTTTTCTAATTATTTGTTTTTATTTTTTTTTTGGACTTTTGGAATTGCAGTCCCAACACCCGCTCCATAAAGTAGACCTCCAACACCACCCAGTTTAAGCCACCTTCTCTCTAAAAAACGAAAAAAAAAAAAAAAACTGGTCCATGGGAAGGTCGAAGTTGTTCTGGTGGTTTTAGTTTCTGTTTCTGTTTCTGATTTCGAATTGTGGTTCTCTAAAATGGCCAACGGTCATGCCTCTTAATTAGTTGCTTATTTTTTGACACTTTTTGTTGTTTGTTTTTTGTAGTATTTGTTGTTGTTGTTGTGTTCTCATTAAGAGCTACATGGTGTTGTTGTCTGTTGTTTGTTGGAAGTTTATGCGAAGCGGGTGGCTAACCGGTTTTCTATTTTTTTTCTCCCCTCCCGAATCTTGCCAATCTTGGCTTTAATTTGGAAATAGTTTTGATTCATAGAGTTGGTATAGTTTTTTTCAAATATTTTGTAATATATGCTCACCCAAAACTGCAATTCAATGAGCTCAACAAATGGCAATTGACATGCATTATGCGGTCAGTCAGCTATTAAAAGCCATGAAGCAGCCAGACTTCCTTATGCCATTTTAAGGGATATGCCCTCAGACACAAGATATATTCAGTTGATCTAGACCCCAAAGTCGTTAGTCGCCAAGTCCAAGTCGGTGCTTTGTTGAAAGTCTTATTGCTTGTCACGTAGGTCATGGGGGTAGCTTCACTCCACACCAAATACCATAAACAAGAACACCAACAACTATAGAATGACAATCGCTTTACAAGAAGAAAACCGCAAAAAAAAAAAAAAAAAAAAATACAAAACAGACGCACCCAAGAGTTAAAAGTCCCCCACTAGTCCCCACATATATTCCATGCACTTAAAAAAAAATGGCTAACAATCTTGTCTAAACATAACTATTTAAAAAGAAGGAATATCTCGAACAGTGTATAATAAATGTTGGGTAGGGCTTTCACTGTTTTACGGTTTGTCTGGATAGCTTCTATATAGTAACCCCCCTATCCCCCACCTTTGGACCCTTGGAGCTCCAACTCCGATTCCCTTTCGAAGTTATTGTGGCAGGGACCAATTAAAATGCGCGACATCACATGTGCGCGCGAGCATTTATTATAAAATTTTCTTTTTTTTATTTTTATTTTTTCGTTGGAATTGAGTGAAAAATAGTTGAATGAAAGAACGACAAAGAGAAAGCACTGAAAAAAATATTCAACTAGATTCTAAAGACTCGAAATATGTACAACTATGTACTCAGAGCATGTTACAATGTTGTTAATACGATGCTTAGTAGTTACTACACTTCACACACACTCACTCACACTGCCTTTCAACATTGACTATGGTTTTCAATGTCTAAGGGGGGGATGTTGTAAAATTATTGGCTGGCATGCGAACGTTGCAGGAGCTTTTATTAAATTTTTCAAGTGCCACAACTCAACAAGGGCATCTCAACAAGAGGTGTTTGGTGGCATGGAAATTATTTTGCCATCAATATGGTTGAGCTTGAATTTTAGAAAAGAATAAAAAAAATATATATATTAACTCCCTTTACTCGAACCCTTGCAGCTTAACAGTCAACTGGGATTTCTTTTATTTTTTTTAGACATACTCATGTATATATTGTATCTTCTCTGCCACTTCATTGAAGCCATGAACTAGTCTTGGCCAACACTATTTGAGTGAGTTTTCCATACCATGTACTACTACCTCCATTAGGGTAAGAAGACAATGCAGTTCTACTCCTGCCCCTGGAATGTACAGCACTTAGAGCCGAGAACAGGGAAAAGTTAACCCCAGAAACTTTGGTGGGCAGGAGTGTCGGTATCTCCGTTAGTTGTTCAACTGTATCTTTGTATCTTTAGTTGCATTTCCACCATTTCCTGGTTTGGTCGTCTTGCCCGTTTCAGTGGCATTCGTGTGTGTGTGTGTGTTGGCCAAGTTCATATTAAGCCGTGCGGTAAACAAAGATTTGTATGTACTAACAAGTTGGCAGTCGACAAGATCCGTTAAGCCGCTTACACTTATGAGTTTCAGGCCTGCCAACCTGGGCCACCAAAACTTTTCTCGACATAATGCCGTCTAATGAGTTCGTTAAACTCGTTGAAAGGAGGTATAGTTGTGTTTGGGAGGGTCTTAAGGAATATGTAGCTAAGGAAATAGGCTCTGTCCTGAGTGTTTTTTTTTCTGTTGCAGTGTGACCAATGCTCTATGTGAAGCACTTTAGTTTTATTATAAAATATAAGCAATACAATATTAAAGACGCTAAAAAATAGACCAAAGAATATAATATTTAAGCTAAAAGCTATTTTTATTTCTTTACCACTGCCACACTATTTTGTGCTTTTGCAGTGTGACCAAAGCTTTATATAAAGCACTTAAGAAGATTCTTAATAATAGAAAGTCCTTACAATCCATCTTTATTTCCCCTACCACTGCCACACTTATTTGCCTTTTCCAAATGTGACCAAATCTCTTTGTGAAGCACTCTTGCATGGTTGCCGCACTTCACTGGCTAATCAAGTGGCCTGTGCAACACTTCCGACTGCCCTCAACCGGAAATAAATCGAGTCAGGCGCTGTTGCCGATTTTGAGTGAAAAACCCTCCCTCCCCGCCCCCTCCCCTTAAGAAAATTAGAAACAATTTGCTGTAAAGTGCACTTAAAATCAAGACGCCTGGCAAGAGTGGCGAGAACTGGACCCTTTGCAGGACCATTTTGTCATATCAGAGACGGAATTTGAATTTCAATCAACTCGAATTAAATCAAAATTTGCAAAGTAAAATGTGAATGTGTATGTATGTATGTATGTGTCTAGTTATTGCAGACAGCCAGCACAAAATTGGTATATAATTCTTATGAATGGGTCCACATCGTCCTCTCGCCCACACTCTCAACTTTCAGCCAACAACCGCAGAGCCACAAACTCGATGGAAAATTCAAAAGACTGACTTTTTCTGGCACACAAAATGGAGTTTCAAGACTGAAGATTGCAGTTTTGGGGGGGGCGACCACAAAAGATGAAAGCTTCCAGCATTTTTGGTCATGCAACTGTAGAATGTCAAGTCTGGTGTCTATAATTTAGTGGCATATTCAATTTTCCAACTGGCCAGTTTGGTTGCTGGCCGGTCTCTCCAACAGCCCTATTCCTTTGCTTTTTTTCTGGCTTTCGTTGATTAAAAATTGCACACACGTAGTGGCAATTGATGCCCCAGATTCGTACACCTGTTGTTGGCTAGTTTTGGAGTTCAGAGTCACCTACAGACCACGTAGTTCGATTTCTTCAAGGAAGAAGATTTCTAACCTCAAGTCCTTTATTTAATCTTTACTTGTAGAATTTTTCAAAAATTTTAATCACCATCCTTGTGTCATCTATAATTTGAATTATATTCGAGCCAGATAATCGGTTTTGTTCCAAGATCTTACGACGACCATGACCCGAATAGCCTCTGAAAGATGCTGCGTCTGGCCTCTGCCGGAGCTGCTGGATTTCCCGCCGCCGCTTGACTGGCCAGACTTTCATTTCCTGGTCCCGATTCCGATTGCGACATGGGCACCACTGTGGCGGCCGATGCCCGACGTTCGGGTGGGGGACGGGCGAGTGGTGCCGCCGGTATGGAGGCTGCAACGGCGGCCGCCAGTGCCAGAGTGTCCTCCGAGGGATGGGAGGCCACCAGGGGCTGGGGCGTCGGTGGGGCGGCATCGGCCATGGCCACATTAGTGGCCGCCACCTGCGAGTTGGCTGGTGGGTTCTGTTGGGTTTGACGGCCATGGTTCTTGCCACTTTTGGCCGCCTTGTTGCCGCCGCTCGACTTGGGGTTCGCCATTCTCTTGGTTGGATTCAGGTTCTAAATAGTTTTAGAAGAAATACAACATTTTCTTGTCTTTATGTATTTTCGGCAATAATTTTTTAAACTTACTTTATTTTAAGTCAAATATTTTAGGGTCAGGCAGTGTCCGAATCTCTGGCTCGACTGCCGGGTGGAGACTTTCAGGGCAACTACTTTTGGCAGCTAACTGCTGGGCTTACTAGGTTTTAAAAAATTGGAATATTTAAGAATATATTCGAGGAATCTACATAGTTCATAGAAAATACTCTCTTTTTAAGGGAAAAATCAAGATTCATGGAGGAGTCTTATGAGCTCTGGAACTCTATTTTCCATTCCTACAAATATTCCACTTTTTTCTGGAAAAAAAATCATAAAAAGGCAGTCATGAAGGACTCATAAAGGAGTCATGAAAGAGTCATCGCGGATTCTTAGAACTTTCACTAATCGAGACAAGTTAATTAAAGGTTTTTTAATATTTTTTTTAAATAAATTTATATATTTTTCAGCTCCCTTCTTTAAATATTTGTGTAATAGGAGAAAATCAGTCCAAGAAAAAAATCATTAAGGAATTATGGTGGACTCCTACAAGAAACAGAGAAACTAGGCCTTGACTTTAACCCAAAATTACTTTATTTAAGAGTTGTAATTTTCTTTTTAAATTATTTTTAGTTTTTCAGCTTTTTTTATTTGTTTACTGACAGAAAAGAATCCATCTTTAACTTTAGTGGATAAATGATAAAAAAAAGAGTCATAAAGAACTCATAGTAAAGTCCAAGAAGATTCTTTGAGGAAACTAAAAAGAATCATCAAAGAATCATGCAGGAGTTTTATGAAAAAGTTCAATCGAGTTCTAATTTTTTTTTTTTTTTTTCCAGATCTCTTCTTCAAATGTCCGACGAAGTGCCTTTAAATCGCCTATCGCAAATCTTCGATACACTTACCAATCTCCAACAACAACAACAACAACAACAACAACCACATCAAGTGGCAGGAACGGAAGAGCAACGTCGAAGATCTGCCTCATCATCGCCATCGCCATCGGCCAGTGCCTCTGCCTCGACCTCGGGTCGGGCCACGCCTTCATTGGGCGTGGCCGGGCCACTCAGTTCGCTGCAGTATTATGGCCACGCCCCCCACTATTTTCAACGTGGCCCGGATGGCCCCAATAGCGGTTACCTGCACACGTTTCCATCGCACCTGTATCACCCACAGATGTTGCAACACCATCAGCACTTGCAACACTTGCAACATCAGACCCATCAGCCGCCCTCACTGCCCGCACAATTGGGCGGTGGTGTTGTCGGTTGCGGCAGTGGGCGTGGCATTCTTAGCGGATCACAGTCCCTGCAAGGATCACCGCTGTTGGCCAAGCGAGCCACCTCGTTTAGCGGCCAAATAACCTTGGCCCAAGGTCGTTCGAATCCAACATTTGGCGGCGCCACCGTTTCCACACCCAACAGTCCCCGATTGTTGCCACGCCGGGTGCCCCGGCCACCGCCCATACCGGCCAAGCCCGCCCAGTCGAAGGTGAAGGTCGATAAGTCGATGCCCCAGCCGTTGCAGCCAGCGACGCCACCACAGCCCGCCACTGTAGTGGCAACTACGAATCCCGTGCTGGCCGCCCTGGATGCACCCGATGCTCCGTGGCCGCACTTTTCGACGCTCACCGAACACCTGGACGTCCGGCAGGTGAACAACTATGGACAGGCACTGCCAGAGGTAAGAAGTGAGGTCCTGGCTATAGTTCTTGAATCTTTGAGGGAGGGAGTAGGCTTCATTTTTGTTAAAAAAAATTAAGTTTTTGTTGATGATTTCTTGCTGAAACTTAGGTAATTTTTGTATTATGATATTATGGATTTTTTAAGAAAGTTTTTTACAAATTTTAAGAAAAAATCTTAAAATATAAGGCATGTAATGGGGTTCTAAAGACCCAATCATAACTCAAAGATGGAAGATATAGAACCTCTAAAAACCAGAAATCAAAAAATGTTGATAAAAATAATGATGATAGATAGGGTTGTATAAAAATTTCCATTTACAAGATTTCTTTTTGGAATACTTAAATGTAGAAACGAAAAGATTATAATCCTTATATCCTATATATCATAAAAAATATAAACTAATAAAGAAAAATCTCTATGGAACTATCTTGTTAAAGGTATTATGAAATAATATTCAAAGTTTTAGTAGAATCGGCTTGGTAGTTTTAGAGTTATGATAAGAATGGTTTTTTTTTTGTATAAAAATAGCCATAAACCGCTTTCCCATTTGAATAAATCAACACCTCGATTGTCTCTTTTGCAGATTAATTGGCAAGAGCGGTGTCTGGAGCTGCAACTGGAACTGCATCGTTCCAAGAACCAGGCGGGTCGTATACGTGATATGCTGCGTGAAAAGGTAAGTCCTGAAATGAGAATCCTATGTACAGGGATGTCTGATAGTTGTGATTAACCCAAATGAGTTAATAAGTAAAAAAAAGAACCAACACAGCGGTGGCCAGGACATTAATTACTCTCGGCTAGAGCCGCATCTTGGCGCCTAATTATGATTTATGAGACCGGGACAGGGACTCATTCCGGTGGCAATGGTTGAAACATTTTTACGACAACCCACACAACAATTATATCATCGGGGTAGCAGGACACTTTGCTTCCCGGGACCACATGTGGGTGGTGGTTGTGTTTTTTTTTGGGGAAAGGGATCCAGGATGAGGAAACGGAAACCATCACTACCATAGCTCTGGCTCTGGCTCATTATTAGGCTAATTAAGTCATTAGGCATTTGGCCAAGAGTCGGCCATCTAATGCAAAAACTATATGAATTATGTATTAGTCAAATATGAAACAGAGTCCCTTGGGCTAAAATTGCTTTCATGTGGCATAGTCTGGCATCTGGACAGAGTCCTCGCATAAATTCATTTTACTTCAATGATTTTTTGTTCACTTTATGAATTTAACATGAAGCTCCAAAACTTTAATATGTATTACTACAAATTCAATTGATTCTATTATAATTTCACAAAAAATATGAAAAAATAGAATCTCTCAAAGTATGCAATAAATATTTTATTCCCCTCTTTCTCTATCGTATGAGTTGTCCTTTTGCCAACCTTTCAGTTGACTTTTGAACTTTTTGCCAGCTGCAATTCAAGTGCATCATAAATTTTAAATCAGTTGCACTAAACTCGAAATGGTCTGGACACAACTCGTCGCCGGGCTGGCCATTAAAAATGCCAAAGCGAAACGCCCTTAAATATGCAATATTATTTATAAATTTTCGTCTTTCGTTTCATTTGGCACAACAGCACAAGTAACAAGAACTAGAAAAAAAAAACAAATAATAACATAAAGTATGTACCGACTCTATGATACTCAGTTCTTAAAGATTATATATGAAAATATTTTAATAAAAGATTTTTTTTTTTATTTTTTTTCTGTGGAAACTGTAGGCAGGACAGGCAGTGTGTATCGCTTTGGTCCTTCGAGTTGGGCAACAATGTGCTGAACGTTGAAATTATGGCCAAGCCATATTGCAACATTCTTGTTGGACAATAAAATTCAAGTTTATTACCAAAGCCATCCGCCAAACAAACAAATGGCTCACAGCGAAGGGCCAAAACAAAAGTTAGCCGGCATCGTTGCCAATTTTCAATCCAGAAGCCACAACATTTTTGAAGGAACTGGGATTCGCTGCCAAAAACCAACATTGTTGGACCTACTTAGTCGTAAATAGGAAAAGCCTCAAGAAAAGGGTCTTGAATGCACTTACCTTATATGTAGAGGCAGGACTCTTCAAATAATTTACCAGCGAAATTAAAAATAAAGACAAAGTACAGGACGCTCTTGTATTGCTTGAAAGGTATATAGTATTGACGAGTTGATCTGATGGGCTGTGATCTGGCTCCCATATGATGGAACTCAGCTGCTATCAAACTCACTGAAATCAGCATTAAATATTATTTTTGGATAAAAATATAAGCTGTCAGTTCCGCTATGTAAATTCCCCACCATTTAGCCTTTGAAAGGAAAGAAAGGATTATGAAAAGTCTTTTTTTTTTTTAATAATAATTACAAAATGCAGTGTACATTTGCAAATTCCAGAAATCTTCTCATCATTATTCATTTTCCAAAATCCTTTTTGAAGCAAGGTTGATTCCTCTAATCTTTCCTTCGGATGGAAATTGTCAATCTACCCCTGTTATCCATATATTTTGGTCTATAAATAAATATAAGCAAATCAGTATCAGTTATATAAGAATAAAAGTTAAATATAATTTTTGAATACATACCCCCAATAGTGCCACCACCATCCAAAGCCCAATTCCTTCGCCCAGTTTTTATACGGATTTCCGTCCTCATCTCGATCCTTTGTTGAGAACTTGGTTCCCTGGATTATATCTAAATTCTCTGTATCTCCAGTACACCCGTCAAGCTTCTTCAGCATGTAGCCTTCGCTCTTGTCGCCCACAACAAAGGTGTTGCATCTTCCTTTATAATGTGTTTGGTCTATACGCACCTCATGGGGCTTCCAATTAGTTAAAATATGTATTTTTTCAAGTCCCATGAAAACTTCATCCAAATCTTCATTCCGATCTCCAAATCCGTTGATGAAATCCTCATATGTACGATCGAAATTCGTTGATTCTTGATATTTATAATAAACCTGCATCCACCCAGATCCAATCATCTTATTTGAGTAACAAGCCACCTCAAAAGGTTCCAATCCTGGGATTTGGATTTCTGGGTAGGAATAATATTCATCTTGTGTTGCTGGGCAACGATCTGGTAGGACTAAGACATTTGTTAATTAAATTCCGCATTATTGAGTTTTTCCAACTTACCTCTGATTGGTTTTTCTGGATTCGACGGACTCGTAGTAGTGTTAGTAGCTCCTGTTCTCGTCACTAAGTTCACGTTGCTGTCATTGTTTCCACTTCCAATTTTCACCTCTTGGCCGGCTTTTGTTATTTTTTGCAACTTTTCTAATTCTTCACTGAACCGTTTATTCAGCTCGCCGAGTTCACTTGATTTTTCCAGATCAGAAATCCTATCATTCAATACTTTAATTTGAGAAATTTTATCTGTTATCTGAGTTTCTAAGCTCCTGACTTGCAAATCTTTCCTTCTAAATTCTTCATATTCAATATTGACTTTCTTGAATTCATCCTGAACCCGATCGTATTTACTATTTATTTGTTGAAGCCTTTCCTGCGATTGCCCAAACTCACGGTTAGTGCTATCAAGCTTTTCCTGCACCTTTGCGAGTCTACCTTCAACTTCAGTACATCTGTCCTGGGCTGCCGTATGTTTTTCTTCCAATAGCTTATATTTAATATTCAAATCATTAAACCTATTTTGAACTTCTGAATTCTGTTCTTGCAGCTTCGCGTTTTGAGAATTCACTTCATTAAACGTTTTCTTGAGTTCTGCGTTTTTATTTTTGGATTTCTGAAGGCTTTCTTTCGAGTTCCTCAATTCACGGCTAGTTTGGTTAAATTTTTCCTGCACCTGTGCGTACTTAACTTCCACTTCAGTAGCTGCCAAATTTTTTTCTAACAATTTTGTATAGTCGGAATTCACTGTACTTAGTTGATTCTGAGCCTCGGAAAGTTTCTTATGCAGCTCTGCGTTCGTCCTGTCCTTCGTCTGGCAAACCTCAAAGTATCTTAAAAGAGGTTTAACTATCGGATAGCAGACTGAAGCGCACTGATCCTCCTCCTCCTCAGTTAGATAGCAGGACTGTGGAGGGTGGACGTAGTTTTGTTAACTTTTTGAAATTAAATCACTTCACTGCTCTATTACCTCCTGTTCGAGTCCCAGGGCACACGAAATAGTCAACAGAAACACCGTTGGTAGCCTCATTTTGGTTTTTTTTTTTTTAAATTCACTTTAATGTTTAAGACACAAGAATAATTCAACTGATGGATCCAAAGCCGTGGCTCTGGGTTTTTATAGCACTCCCGAGCTTTCATAGATTATCTTATCAGAACCAAGACTTCAAGACTTGTGCGAGTGCTACACTAGGTATTTAATATTAGAAATAGTACCAAGTTCCCATCCGATTTGGTAATTTTCCATCAATTTAATCTTCTAATAATTATATAATACATTTACAATTAAGTGCGTGAGAGAGTATTTTAGGTATATATATATATATATTTTTTTTTTAAATGTCCGAATCATTTCTATATACAATGAGCTTGCAAATTTCTTATCAAAATCACCAAAATTTTGAGTTTTTGGCAAAAATTCAAAGACACATGCGGAAGCGCAAATGTCAGAGTTCAACAATCAATTTGATAAGCAAGTTTATTTATTTCTAAACATAATTATATAATATTATATACTTGGCATATAATACTAGGATTTGTTGAAGAGATCTCTGGAATGGATTGGCTGGCAATAGGTGATGCGGCCATAAATCCACGTTTGCCGCTGGCCATGATTGCACATTGTGGACACTGGGATGGGCCGTCAAAGAGCAAACAGCATCAAAGTGGCCACATTAGAGTGCCCAGCATCGGTCGCCCTCTTTCGCGACCTCTTTTCAAGGCAACATATAGGCCTCCCTTGGTGGGTGGTGGGTGGTGTTAGGGGGGGCGGATGGTGTGTTTGTGAAGCGCGTTAACGCGTTGAAAGCAGCGCTTAGAGGCAAATACTGCCCGTCTGCCATGTCATCCATTTCCATTTTGATTGCCAGTCCCAAGGATAGCTATAGATATCATAAAAGGCCGAAACTAAAAATGCTCTTATTGTCAATATTTTATTTAATTACTTACTCAGATCTTATAAATTCTAATATGATGTTGATTATATAATAAAAATTAAAATTATTATTTTTTTGAAAGGGTATTAAACTAACTTAGAAAACTGACAAAAGTTTAAAACACTCAACACACAAAGCAACAATCCAACATCCGCTGGATGTGTCAGCTTCAGTTTTCAGTAGTTTGGGTATAGGGATATGGGATAGGGACGGATATAGGGGACAAGGACCTTAAAAGGATTGTTGGGCTTTTCATGCCCATTTCATTGGCAATTCAATTGTTTTGCCTTTTCAACTCAAACGGAAAATTGTACGTATATCGTTGTATGCCATTGACTTTGATAATTAATCGATAACTTGTTTTTGGTTTTTTTCGTTTAATATTTTTTATTTTTATTTTAGTAGAAAGCTTTACTTTTTCAAGTCACTGTATACAACAGTTCAAGTAGGTAACGAACCATACTCGAGGAATGTGTTTAATATCTTTGATAATTAATCGATAAATGTTTTTCCCAAGGCCAATCGTTTTATTTAATTTATTTTTTATATATGCCATTTTATTTTTTATTTAAGTAATATATTATTATTAAATGTGTATGTCTATAAAGAGGCATTACTGGCCTTATCGCTTC